GCTCGTCAACGGCCGCGAAAAAGAAAATATTCAGGAATCTCTCGGTTTCTCTGGGATTTGCCGAGCAACGGGGCAACCGTGTACTTTGATAACGCCACTTTCCGACCGGAAACACCGGCGCTTCGCGAAATTGCGAACGTCAGTTTAACCCTTTCCAGCCTGAATATTCCTTTTTCAACCCCGGAACAGTAGATTTAAATTTAATTTTCTATACCATATTATCCTTTCATTTTTCGTATAAAATACAAATACGATATTACGTTACAGAGATTTAAATGTTTCACGGAAATTTGTCGAGGATCATTATCCTAAATACTTCCCCATTATGGTAAAATACATTCGTCGCACAGTTAATTAATCACGAGGCATCACTGCGTACCTCCATGGAGTCCAGTTTCTAACGTTTTTGCGGAGCTGGAACGCAAATCTGTTTCTGACTTGCATTTGTCATTCCGACCCGTATACGTATTTGCACGACTGACATTGGAAACTTTCCTCGACGGACTTTTTGATTAATTTTCCGACTTATTGTTAGACTCGACGTGTTTGCTACGGACTCCAGGGAATTCTTCCACGCTTTGTTGAATTCTAATTTGAAAGTCATTTAATGGTGACTGACTGAAATTACCCTTAGTACTCGGTGACCATTTAACCGTACTCGTACTTTTATACTAAAACAGTAATTTACCAAAATAGGGAAAATAAAATCAACGATTCTTGAAGAAAATTTTTCTAAATATGACGAGTAGTTAAAATAATTTTCGAACAAGACACAATCAAACGTTCGAAACTGGTCGATTCGTGTTACGATCGATGCACGTGTTATAAATTCTGACGGCTAGTCGACAGGAAGAACGCGGAACGTCGAGGTAAGGGTTACAAGCAAAGCCCGCCAGTATCGACGTCGATAAATTGTTAAAGGCCTGTTTGAATATTCGACAGTAGAACGCGTGTTTTGTTCTCGATGTGTAGCGATGCCTGTCGAAAGCACATCGTGACAGCTGATTCTGGCTGGCACGTTTAAAACCATGGCCACCGATCCGCAAGTTAATTTCCAAGTCTGACTCCCTTGTGTATTTCATATATCAATACCACCGCTTGATCTCTAGATAGCTAGTTGTTAAAGTCGAAAGTCGAGTTCCGTCTTTACACTGGGGAATTGCTACTTTCAGTAACAGAAAACTTGATTCGTTTCAATGAATCCTGACCAACTTCGATTACATTTAATTTTACTTGATCCCATTAAATTTCTATATTCAATATTATTTTATTACAATTCTGTATCGAGGGATTTGTTTAATTAATACGTAGCAAAGTATATTAAAATATCAATTATTAACGATATTAATTAATTTTTAAATTGAAATATTTAATTTTATATCATTAATAGAACACGTTAAATATCATAGTGCAGGTTATTTAGATTACTATCGTTTCATTTTCCAATTTAAATTTTCTACTTACGATATTGATACAAATTTCATTTCTCGTTATTTGATTATACAGAATTCGAAATTCCAATTATCGATGACTTTTCGTGATAGTCAACGAGTTGATTTAATACCTAAAATTGCGCGTATAAAGAAAAAGTTAATTATGGTTCGTAATCAGATTCGGAGCCAATCTATCGGACGCTAGTCGATCTCAAACTTTCAAACAAAAAGTTTCCACCAGTGAAAGGAGATAAAAAGAGGAGAATCCTGATTCGTTTCTGAGCATAGATCGAACCTCTCGAACGCGTGTAATGACGTTCGAGTATGCTCGAGATTTATAACAGAGACTGCAAATCTGCATGTTAATTTTCATGATCCCTTCATCGAGATATCGATAGAATTGAATAGACTATTGCAAAGTTCTGAAGAAGGTAGCTGCCCATGAATAGATGAATCTAAAATATTCCTCTGAAATTGACACAGATCTATTCCCAAAGTTCTACAAAAAAAGCGCAAATATATTTCATCGTCATTTTACCAGAGCGTAATGATAATATCCTGAATTTTGTTCGAACTATGTAGAATGATTTAAGGTGTTGCAAAATGCTTCGCTAATTTCGAGGAACGCGAAATGGTAAAATGAAGAATTTTAATTCTATTCCGGCCATGAAACATGCATGAAACTAACTTGCTTTCGTAAGCTAATTTTGGTTCTTAATCTTCTGTGGTATTAATATACGTGGCACGCGCACATATGAAGTCCAAAGAATGGTGGCGTTCATTTAGCACGAACACGAAATGGTACTCAGACATTCCTTCCTTTATACTTTGTCGAAATATGAAAGCTCGAATTTATTTATTCAATAATTCCTGTATATCTAAAATGCAACGAGGGTACATTTTCATTGATACAAATTGGAAATTCTTGTTCTTATGGTATATCATTTGTAAGAAAATAAAAAATTCTTGAGAGAAAATGAATCGACTTTAAAATATTTTAGCAGAAATATTCTAACACTACGTCGACAAAGATAGAAAAGGAATTTAGAGGGATATTTTTATCATATGAGAATGGTAAAAAGGGTGTAAATCATTATAAGATACATTTGGAAAGAAACAAATGTTCAGTTAAGGAGGTGAGGGTAGGATCCTCGGGGTGGATTTACCCCCTTAGACACGAGTTTTTGTCGAGAAACAAACGAGGCAATAAATCCTACGAATGCAAGCTATAATTTGATGGCAGATAATACCATAATGCCGGTTAAGTGGCTGAAACGAATAACATATTACCAGCAAATGTTTCTCGTTTCGAATAGAAATTTATGATCACTAAACGGCGCTTATTGTTACGAATTCATATCCGTAATAAATAGATACATGTTAATTAATATACAATTAAATTCTCTGCTAGATAACATTTAATTGGACGCAACTGAATCCATTATTTCACCCTGCGGATTTAATTTTATATTAAAATAATTTACAACGATCTTTTAGTAAACATTTTGCGCTCTCTTGGGGGTCATGACCCAAAGATTAGGAATCCAGGTTTTAGATCAACTAGCAACGCATCAAACTGCAGGAAGTGCATAGTGCTGAATTTAACACGGCCAAATTGCATCCGGTGTACGAGTGCGACTGTTTCTTTTTCTATTTATAAATAACTCGGCACGAATATTTAGCTGCACCAAATACGAAAACGTTAACTCAATCGAGTTCATTCATAAACGCTCCTTTAATTAAAATATTAAATGTTGTTTCGAAATGTTTATAAATTTTCATGAAATGAACTCTTGGTTATTTGCTGGAGATATCAGAAAGATAACATATAAACGAAATTATTTATAGAATTATTATTTCTCTTCAATTGATAATTGTATAAGACCTTTTTTGTTATCTAAATACAATTTGAAGGAAAATTTAATTCCTCTCATATCTCACATTCACGTTTCGTTTGTAACATATTTTACAAAACAGGCTTGAAAAATTGACTGTGAATTCATGAATTTTGTGAAATCAATGAAAATTGAACAAAGAAAGAAAGGGAAACGAGCCGTGCAACGGTGATATGTTTACTCGTGTACGATTGTAATGGACGACGTGGCATATCCGTTGATATTTTATTGCATTAATTCGGTTCAGCATCCATACATCATATCACCGGCTATCAGACTGCACGCCCTGTATCAGACTGCAGTTTTGTCACATAAATTTTATGCCGAATTTACGATATATTCTTCACGTCCAAGAGAACAGAGAATTGTCTAATAACGAACCGAACACATTATTATTGACACTTTATTCAATCTTTATCCACCTATTGCATTTTTGTGTGCAATTATTGCAATTGACATTTAAGAAATATTGCCATCTTTATTTATTCAAGTTTCATTTCATTATAAAATTACCCTTAAAATTCGTCAAAATGAAAGATCTCAAATTTCTTAGTAAAAATTAAAATTTTCCAAATTTTATTTCAATTTTTAGTTTAACTTTTGAATGACGCTTGAACATAAAACGGAAATCCGATATAATAAAGCGAATCAGTCAAAAAGGCGTTAAATTAAATCAAAAAATATTCGGGACAGAGGACGCGACAATTTTCGGTTTGCATTCATGATCAGATGTCCGGCTCATTGCACCTGGCAATAACAGTTGATCGAACGTGACGATTACACGTACACCTTGTTCGTATAAATCAAGCTTGTAATAGGAGAAGAACGATATCAGTACGAACATCGTTTCAGATTTGTTTTGATTCACAATGCCCGTTTCAAGTTCAATATGAGAATGATAAAAAGTTACTACCGTTGATCCGATCAACTGAATACCTGTTGACAGAACTCTTTGTTTCTATCCCTGTTCTAATGGAACCGGCTTGCTTCTGTCATGGTGCTTTTATTTCGTTTTTATTTACGAAATGTTGAAATATTTTGGAAAACTTTTTCCGCAGATTTAAAAAAATCGTTACTTTTTCGAGCGATATCCATTTATATTTTAAATATCATGCGCTAATCACTTTTGACGTGTGCGTTTTTATTTTATACTAATGCAAAAATATGAATCCCTGCTAGCAACAGAGCTTAAAAAAAAAAAGAATACGTATTAGATTCGTAGGTGGTCCCACGAATTATTAAAATCGTTTACTTGATGTTATGATATAGTTACGCAACAATGGAAATTCACACTTTTGATTATATCGTTTTGTACAAGAGGACAATTTAAATAAAAATTATTTTAATTTTTTATGCTCTTTCAATCTAAAGTCCGAAACAACTAAAAATTTAAACGATGCTATAGTTATGCAGATCAAAATTTTTCTAACGCAAATACCACTTTACTCCCTCGTGAATCAATCCCTAACGCGTTTTGGACGGTAGCCGAAGGGAAGGATGATCCGCAGCGAGATGCAATAAGTAATAAGTATTAAAAAAAAGAGGGCAGCGCGTGTTTGTCGTGCGATAGATAGAAGGGGTGGTGCGAGGGTGGTCGGCTATCAGTGTGCCACTCATCAGTGTGCTACGGCGCAACCGGACAGGCGTTTTCGCGACGAAGAGGGTGGGTGGATAGAGGCGCCTAACGGCAGCTGTGAGTCGCATGATCCGTTCATTCGGGTTCGCACGGCTACCCTCGTCTCTGCTCGGCTCTCCGCGTTTCCAAGAAGCAACCCCCGAGTTTACCGAAACTCTGCTGCCAATGCGCTTGCATTCGTTCGCGCGAGTACTCGTCGCTTCTCCGCGCGTGTCAATCTCGCTTTCCACTTATCATCAGTTTCCTGGTCATTTCACTTCACCATGCGCTCCCACGATGACACTCTTCCATTCTGACTGATTTCTATCGTTATCACCTCTTTTGCAATTGTTCTTTTGAAAAAGAAAAGAAAAAAGAGGGAACAAAGAAGTGAGCAGTGTTTACAGTGTCTCCGTTGTTCTATACAGTTTTCTACAGTTAGAATGTACGCTGTTCACGTGTCACGTGTCGATCCACGATTCTGGTTCAATAAAAATCCTCTCTCGAGAACGTCCAGTTAGTTTGATCGATCACGATGCATTGTGAACGATTCAGATAAACATACGATCGAGTGTACGACAGTTTGACAACGGTTCGTTCGATGCTGTGAGTTTTCCCGCGATTTTCCTCGGGTCACCGTCGCGAACACGAATCCGGTGAAAGCGCGTGAATCGCAAAGGTACATTCATACTCGTCGAAGCGAGCACGAGAGTGTCAGATGTTTGATTAAAAGCGACTTTTCGTTGATGGTTAGATTTTAGGTAAATAAGGGCTCTGATTGCCACTGGCTGCGGGCTGAGAGCAGCCTTTTGATCCTTTGGCTGGAAAACACGTTGCCTTCGACGATACACGAGAGAAAAATCTCGCTGCAAGCACGGCGGATGCTTGTTTTACACGGATTACGTCGGAATTCATTTCCACGCTAGTAATAAATGAACCACCGATGGAATTTCATTTCGTGACTGGTGATACGAAGATCGAGAACTGGTTACCAGTGAATAGCAGTGTGATTGACAGACTGTAAGATTGATTCATTTCCGTGATTGTCATCGATCAAAAGTGTGATTCAACGACAGTGAACATTTTAATCAGACAAGTCAGATTTATCAAAGAGACGTTATTAAAATATTGCTCGTTTCAGTGTTCAAGATGTTCAATTCACCAGGTCCGACAAATTTTTTCCTTCGAATCAACGATCATAGAGCATCGGTGTCGAATAATAGCGCGGAAGCTGTTTCTTGAGCTGATTTGCAAATTAAAAGAGGATCATTTTGCATTCTGTCGTGAAATCGGTTAATGTCGTCACAGTGGAGGGCTGGAAAGTAGCTCCGATTGCTCGTTCGAGTGGCGTTCACGTGGAAATATACGGCTAGAAGTCGGAGGAACTTTGTGTAATCAACGAGCCGCTTCTTCTTCGGCTGACGTTCACTTGGCACCGGAATATCCGTTGAAAGAGGGAATGAAGGGCCATCCAGACAGCACGTAGGGACTGGCCCTTCTCGTCTTCGGAGATGTGGCGCTATCTACAGTACACTATCCTCGGGCTTACCATCGTCCTGCTGACGATTCACGAGATAGTTCTCGTCCGAGCCGGTGAACAAGGTAACGATAATTCATGCATCTTATCTTTAGTCGCAGCAACCACTCCTCCTTCAACAAACACGTTCGTCCTTCCGTCATATTTCCCTGACAAACTTCTTCCATTGAACTTTGCTCGAGGAAATATTACAATTAATTTCCTTCTGCAACTTCGAGGATGTCACTTCAGACTTGTAAAACAATCGAGCACTTCTGATCACGTGCAATCATTTTCACTTTCTGAATAAAGATTTTGAATACTGATATTTTTCGATCTTCTTATTTTCTTGGAAAAAATAAAAATTAAAATGTATGCTTTGATGAGTATATGCGTTAGAAATGAGTTTTATAATTTCTATAACGAGAATTTCGAAATTACTGGTATGTTAATAATTTTAATTGCGAGTTTTCCCTATGATCCACGTTTGGAATTATGTAAAAATGAAAATTTGAGGCAGCCAAGTTTCATTAAAGGATATATTTCATCTGCTTTTCAAGCTAGATTATCACGACTGTAATAACAACTTTCAACGTACTATTTAGTAATTCTTGGTTTTAAATTATGTATTTGAACTCGCTTTTCGTGCTCGCTTAACGTGAAAATTCGAGCAATTTCTGTTGCTTCAGAAAGATAAATTTCGAAATGGAAATATCTTGCGTTTTCGGCCACGAATTTCACGTGTCTTTCCGAGTTCAATGAAACATAGCCCCGTATTATTTTCGTTCGAGTCTAAAGTTCGTTTGTGTACGGATATTTCAGGCAAACTGAAAATATAGTGTACGCGTACAGTCGTAAAAGAGGTGACAGTGAAACAGCAAAGTAGGGTGAGCTTCGACATGGAAAGCAATTGGAAACGGACAGTGGAAGTTTAGACGAGTGAAAACAGTCGAACCATAAATACCTATTTTACTTCGTTGGTCAATAATTGAACGCGTGCGAGACTCGGATGTTCATTTTTTGGCAAAATGAGCCACACCGGTGCACTCGGGTAAATTTTCAATCGGAACTTTTCGAACTTTCTTCCAATTTTGTATTTGTATACAAACAATGGTTATTTAAAACTGACAAAATTCCGTGATACTAAATTTATTATAAAAGAAAGACGATAAACTGTACCCCATATACATGCAAATTTTCAACGTTCAATTTTCTATGACATTTCACAGTCCATTGGTTGATTGACTTTTAATCTATAGATATATCAGAAAGCGACCAATTATTTCAGATACATCGATAACTATATTAAATGCAGTTAATATCAAAAAGCTTTCCATTCGGAATCATAATTTCACAACTTTATAAACGTTTTCCTATTATATCACCATTTTATCGCTAAAGTGCTATTGATTTATTCCTGTCGCGTATTAATTTCATGACACGTTAGAACTTTATATAAAGTATTAAACGCTTTTGAAAAATTAATTAACACACGAGTACGTAACGTACATATTTTCAACCTAATTACGCGTAGTAAAGTATACAGCATTGTTTAATTTTTCCAACCTATTTCCCACGGAATAATGGTTTCCAATATTTAAGAATCACAGTATATTTATGGCAAAATATGTGTAAAACATTGACAGTAGAGTAATATTATTCTGTCAGGAATGCTATTTATCAGAAATCTCTTTTTCACACTGTAAATACGATGCACGAATCCTTCTTTCTTCTCACGATGGACGAGTATTGTTCCGTTGATTCATTTCTTCTTCTATATTCTTACATGAAACAGTTTTTATTATTGCGACGTTTGCCCGAGGTCGCTTTTATTTTCCGACAAGATTAAATTCTTGGTTAAAGGTTCTTGCATTGGTTAGTCGATCGACTTTTATTCTTTTACCATATTTTCCATTGCCTTTGTACTCGTGTCTTTTTTAAACGGTAATTAAAAACTTTACCAACAGATGAAACCATAATACTTATTTCCTTTGACAGAAATAACGTTTCTGATATAACTGCTCTCTATTGTTAATCCAAGACATTAAGTAAAACGAATTGGTTCTTTTATTTTAAATTTTAAATTTAAATACCTCATCGCGATTTTTCTTTTCCCCTTTGATTAACCATGAGAGTCACAATATTGTACTAATTAACCCTTTGAGGACCATCTATGCATATAGATGGTTACAGATGGTTATAATTTATAATTCTGTACTAATTGCGTTATATTCTCAGTACAAAACACAGCTACAGTGTCGACAGTAAAGATTTATAATATATGCTTTGAAGGATGCCATGATTACTTCTCTTACTTTAAACTATTAATACTATGTGCAAACTTAGGAATGTTCCGTTCTCAAAGGGTTAAGCAAGATAATAAATGTAAAGCTTAACTCGTCCCCTATAGATTACCTTCCTTAACTAAAATAGAAGAAAATGTGTTAAATTCTAAAATAAAGCAATAGTGGTTTGAATAATTACAATGATAGCATATTTTACAACATTTGCCCATTTTCAAAGTGGCGTTCAATGTGTTAAACAGTTATATTATAATCTCACTGAATTCTGTAATTCTATAACAGCAGCAGTTTCAAATCACATTCACATTTGAATTTGTAACTTTCCAATTGGTCCTAGTAGTTTTTATCAGACATAATGCACGAACTACAGCGCACGGCCATACATACAGACATATGGTCATTTTAGTAACGCCATGCAAATGGTAATGGCTTTACAGTTTCATAACAAAGTTATACGTACTTCTATTTGGCCGCATGAGTGATTATCATTGTGCGTGCATCGAAGCTGAAATCAATGTTTCGTTGGGATACCAAAGTTCCTAAAGATATATAATTCATTTTTCCTTCTCTATTTGATAATCATTGTATTTGTAGAAATTTTTCTATAATATTTTGAATTTTTCAATTGATTTTATCTTCGTTTTAGAAACTTCAATTTCGTTACAATACATTATATATTCTCTGTCAGATTCATTTTGCGTGCACAGATTTTGACTGAATTCTTTCAAGCCCCTTTGGGTTCAGATTTTTTCTTCGAACGTTCCCTAACTCAATGCGCTGTAACGAATGCGATTTGTGGCGATTCTTTCGCGTCCGTACGGTCAAGTTAAATGGGCGGAATCGTTTTAAGCCGGCGAATTTCACGGTTCGATCGATTCTGCGATACGTTCGTGATCGTTTTGTTCGCTTATCAGTGCAATCGAACGGTATTGTGGAACCGCAACTTGACACTTGGCCAGGAAAAATAATATCGATCATTCGCCCGTTTCGATTTTCCTCTCGACCGGATTACGTTTGATCTGTGACCGCTATTTTTTGTTCTCTCCATTGTCTTTCTTGAAACGGTGCATCGCACGTGGAACAATATAGAAAATGTGGCTGGCAATCTCAACGAATGCAAATCTAATATCTACATAGTTGAAAAAGTACTACTCCACAACAAAAGCAGTCATTATTTTGTTGAAAACGAAATTCCTAAGCAGAGAATATTAAATCAAGAGTTTTAAAACAAATTACACTTCTCTTTATACGTATAGGATGGAATTTTACTGACAGATATCATAAAATATGAAATATGAAGATAAAAAATCATTTATGAATGACAAACGATTCATCATTCGCTTTGATGGATAACCAGCAATTTTATAGAAATAATATTAATGAAATGTTCCTGTTATCGTTTTCAATAAACTGTAAATCTTGATTTTTTACGCTTTAAATCAATGATACGGTATTGTGAAATATGAATTATCTGTTGCTCGATATAGGAAAAGAGAAAAAAAGGAAGAGGTACTATTCTACTATGGCTACCTGCCAATTAATTACGCTCCATTACACGAGTCAAGCGGCAGATTAATAAACTTCAGCTTGTCACGCTTGTAACACCGTGTGCCAGCTTAGTTTATCTTGGAGTTTATCCACTGGCGAGCATGAATGCTCGCAATTTGTTCGCGCTTGTGGCAAATAGCCGGATAATAGAAACTTCATCGTAAAACCGACACCGTGGCTATTGTTTCCGTCTAAAAATCGCCTCAACCATCTACCTGGTCGCTTTAGTTTTCGATCAAACGGGACACGTGACGATTCGACGAATTCGAATCGATTACGGTGCACGCGAGGGATAACCTGATTTTCGGCCAAGTTTCACTCGCGCATGATCTTATCGTCGAAAATTAAGCCCGATCCAAGTACAAGCAGCACGGTCTGCATTACGTCAAATGAAAAAAGTTTTATTCCACCAGACTTGGAGCCGAAACTTTGGCCAGGAACACATTTGATTATCTGTCAGGGTATCCTTTTTTCCCTTCCACGAGTACGCAGATGTTTCGCATCAGAGTTTCGGAAGTTTTTCCTTCGAGAAACGAGCTCCGCGTCTCGCAAAGATACGATTACAAATATCGTCGTCAAATACTCGGGGTTGCTTCGCTTTCTTTGGAAAAATATCAATTCCTTGTACTACGATTTTTCTAGGAAAGTCTGACACTCGAATTTGCAAATATCGCATTTTTTTGCATCGAAGTAGAACAATTGAAGAATTATCACAGATACGACAAAGAATTATTCGTTCGAATAGAGCTTATTCAAAAATTTATTGCTTTTATAAATAATTCTAAATTTTCAACTTGTTACGAAACATAATTGAACGAGGACAACACGTACATTCCCGAGTTTCTACGATACAGAATTGAATCAGGATAATGCATAAGTTACAAAGTTTCTCAATATTCGTCTCCACGAATTTCCAGCAGATAACGTGCATTCAATTGCTAAAATAAATCAAGAGGTTTCTGGATACAGAGGCTGGAAATTAGACATCGAACTCTTAACCACATTGGGGAATGTATTTCCGAGCACTTTCTCGAAATCGAAATAGAACATCGGGGCAATTGAATTAGTTGGTGGTAAGATGGAATTGGAACTTTACGATAAATGTTTGCAATGTAGAAATAGAAAATCAAACTTTCCTATTGAAATTAGTATACATTTTTAGCTATTTTTAAGAATAATGAAATAAAATCGTACAATTTAGTATGTGTAATTTAATTTTTATAATATTGGATTGA